TTAAAAATATTATATTTCTTTTCAGTTATATTCAATGAATTATTCAAAATATAAATAATTGAATAAAAGTACTTCTAGTGTGTCTAATAGTCTAATGTTTATACTTGAATCCTATTATTTGTTCGTGGAAACTTATGATTATAATATTGTAGGTACACAACAGTTTCATAATAATAAAGAATGCAGTACTATTAGGTAGAACGTTTTTTAAGGTTAATATAATATCAATTTGATTTCATTTATGTTAATACAATATAAGGAGATTTCATTGGCTTGAAAAAATGTCTTGCATATTATAAATTATAGAGAATCTATACAGTGGCGGTTTTAATTAAATACATATACAAATAAATAAACAATTTTTTTATAGATATTTAAAGTTCAAATCAAGACGAAATTCGATAATAAAACGAAAATGGCACTTAATGGCATTTTTAAATGCAATATTTTCAGCAAAAATTAATTAAACCTATACTGTATTACTAAAAGAAATTGTTTTAATAATTTATTATTGCATATACTTATTACATATAATATTACACACTTACTAACACGAGGTCTAGGAAATGAATATATTATATTTATATACGCCCAGCCCGAACAATATTATAATTTATAAACTCTAAAATATGCGATCAAAACCATAATAATTTACAGCCAAACACATTATTATTACTATTATCGTTTCGGTTAAGACCGTTTGTGGGTGGGCTTGAGGTCCTTTTCGTTCAGCGAACACGCACACACATATTACACATTTACACAGATATTTTTCTCGGTACTCGTATATTTTATGTGACATGTTTTAAAAATACCTCAGATCCTTAGTGCTCCACACAATAAAATATTATATTGTACAACTGGTATAGTGAATACACGAGCCGTGACGAATTCGGAATTTCACCAGATTTTCGGACTTATCGTTCTCCGTTTAAGACCATCAATGCGCACCGGCAGATGTTTGAGTATACAGACAAATATTTTACCAGCCCGTCTCTTTTGTGTTAAAGATTTGGGGGTAGAAAATAATACCCAATAATACCCTACTACCCATATAGTATTATTATTGTCCCCGCAGCAGACAGCTGCACAAATAATATATTATGTTCGGTCTCACGGTTGCTGGGGTGAAAAGGTTGGAAAATAAGGTTTGAATATATACACCGACACACCACACTGAATATTATTCCCTCTATAGTATATTCACACTCAGGCAGTAACGTGTTCATGTTTTTGCATCCCCTCCCCCCCCCACCCCACCAAGTGTGAAGCGGTATTTTTTTTATATGATTGTATCCACTAGCACAGCCTTTAAACTAAGTTAGGACTACGAAAACTTTTGCATATTATAAATAGCCTATGTGGGGGGGGATTGATCCCCCTGATACTCCCGTAAATATGCCACTGCACGCAGGGGCGTCCTAAGGCCGGTGTGAGCGGAACTCACGCCACGGGCCCCGTGTCTTAGAATCCTCGTTTAGGCCATCAAAAATTATAAGTTTTCTTTAAATACAAACATTTACATATAATACTACAAAATATGTTTATTTGACATTATTATATTATTAATTGAATGTAATTAAATACAATGGAAATACAATTGCCTATATGGAATACTTGTATACAGTTGTAAAGTATACACTATACCACTATGGTAATAAAAGTGTATAGTCTTCTAAATAGGGTACCTACTAACTAAATGAAGACCTGGGAGCAACAAAAAGACATATCCAATGCATACAATTATTCTGTTTGTATAATTAGTAGGTAGTCACTGTGACCAGTGCAGTAGGCAAATTTGTACAGGTTGTTAAAATCAAATTTGTATGATCTGAAAACCAAAAATTAAAACTTGGAGATGTCTAATTATTTATTAATATTCAATATAATCCCCCACCTCGAATATGCTACTGATACTGCTTAATGTGTTCACAACGTTATTCGACAGTATGTATCTGTCCGTCTACAATACGTTTGGTTGGCTACGGAAAGTGGATTATTTCAAAAGCACTATAATACATTGTATATAATATAATATATTATATTATTATGTGTAGATACCAGCCAACGCCGAAGCCTGCAGATCATAAATTCGATTTCGTATTCCCGTCGTACCTACATAGGTACGTACTACCTACCTTTACTTTTAAAATAGGTAATGAATGTTAAATGAACGAAAATGGTCGTTCGCGCAATAATCGAACACGTTCAAACGTCCCTCGATTGAACTCGTTCGTGGCTCGTTCGCATAAAATAGTCGTTTTTTCCAAACACTGCGGTTTTGCACCAATGAAGGTCTTGCAAATATGGCGGTCGTCTGCACTGACTTGCGAAGTGTCGAGGGCGGGAAGGTTACCCAGATGTATAGGTATATGCTCATGAAAAAAATACGAATTGCACTTATAATGGCGCTGAGCCAGTGGCGTTATTTCAGTTTTCAATAGAGGGGGCAAATGTTCTGACCGGCCCGAATGTCTAAAAAAACTGATCCGCTTTGCTCACAACCACATATATCTACTTACATTTTTATAAAACTACCATTCCCACCTCACTATTATTTTAGAATTTAATTTATTTTTACTTTAATTTGTACAACCCTTTTTATGAACTAGGTAACAACGTAATTTGCAAATGAGGCGTGTAGAACCATATCGGCCAATCCCACAAGAAATCAAATTGCGTTTTATTTGAAAATATGTTACTGGCCCAACCCTAAAAAAAAATATTCCGCTAGATAGCAGCACATAATTGTTATGCAATAGTATGAGAAATCATGGGCGTTCTCACGGGGGGGGATATGGGGGATAGATCCCCCCCAAGGTTCTTTATTTTTTTACATATTAGTAATACACGTTTTGTCTACTTTTGATATGTGTTTGTGTTTTCAATATTGACTTGGTAGTTATTATTTTATTTTTTTTTTGCAATTTTTTTTTATCGTGATTATTGATTCCACCAGCCATAAACAATATTATTATTTATCACTGATAATTATAACATGTAACAGGCAATTCGCTTTACAATTGATTTGTACTGTATTTTTGTAAACAATCACTCCGTCAACTTTATAAATTCCCAGCGTCAGAAAAAATGTAAAGGTAAGATACACAATGATAACACCACAGTGATAAAATAAAATAAATAATTTAAACCAGGGATGGAAAACGTTTTTAAAAAACGTTAGTAAACGGAAAAAAAACGAAAACAATGAATAAAACAAAAACAAAAAACCATAACAAAAAATCTCAAAAACAGAAAAAAAATTAATTACGAAATCAAAAACGAAAACACTAATAAATTATAGTATTATACATTATTATATTTATGACACGAAAAAAAAATGTTACTTAAGTATTTACTTTTTAATCTTTACCAACAATGCTCTATTAAAATTTAAAAACATTTTTATTTGAAATCAAGAATAATTAATTTTTATTTTTAACTCTTAAGTGCATTTCTAAATTGCTAAATTTACTACTATAAAAAAAAACAATATTATCAAAAACAATATAGAAAAATAACGTTTTTAAAAACGTTAATCAAAAACAAAAACGAAAAAATTAAAAACATTTTCCATTCCTGATTTAAACTGATTCATAACATTCTTTTATAGTTTAAATAAAAAGAACAATAAATATGACTTGAATTGATTATTTGATATTATCAACTATATTACTATCAATATTATTAGATTCTGAGCGGAGTGAGGGATCTATTGGTTTTTCAATATTGTTTATATTTATTTTTATTTTATCCTGCATACAAAATTTCTACCAGAAGCAGTTCTTCGCTTTTAACATATAGTATATCTTTTCTTTTAGAAAATTCTATCAAGATGGTACTTTAAAGAGGTAATTTTTCAATTTTCTCAATATTTATTTAATGACACATTACAATTTCACCGACAAATTTCAAAAACCGCTAAAAATGTGATTTCAATTTCTAACACTTTGTTTATCACCATTGTAACAAATAAAATTAAAATAATGATTTTAGTTATTTTATCGTAATTTATAATATTAATTCAACTTACAGGCTATAATAAAATATAATTACAATATAAAATATCCAGACTGACAAACCGTCTCCGCTCAGAATCGTTTTTCGTATACAATGATATGATATCATTGAATTCAAATTTAATACAATCCATTAAACAGTGACCAACTATTGTAATCTACTGTACAGCAGAGCGACATCCACTTACCCGCTTTTTTAATATTCATTATTATAATATGGGAGTTGGGAGGCAAAACCCTTAGGTACGGCTTATTTTGAAACCATTTTTTTCATCCCCCTCCATTGAAATATCCTGAGAACGCCTCTGTGAGAAATATTAGAAAATTCATATAATCATACACAGTTTATACACAAAACAGTAATACCATTAAAATATTATGATAAATAAAATTATTATATTTTTGAACCTAAGAGAACCCATTTAATTTAAAAATTCCAGTTCGGTTCCGGTACTTTATTTATTAAAACAAAGGTTTCGGTTCCGATTCCGGTTCTTAATCTTTTAAAGTTTCCCGTTCCAGAACTGGTTCTTTTATGTTCGGTTCCAGTCCCTGGGCTAAAATGTTCTTATACAGAACCTGGACACGATAAATTGTATTAAAGGAACATTGTGTTAAAATAATATACGTTCCAAATATAATATAATATTTTTTTTATATTTAAGGCAATATGTATAAATAATGACGGTCGATAAAATTTTGATAATTAAAAAAAATTAGCAATGGGACTTTCTGAATTGTGGGTTCGGAATTCGGATTACAATCATATTATTACAGGCCGCGAACAATGAGTCTATAATAATATAGGTAATTATTATTATTGCCTAGGTATGTCAATACGAGGTGTGATCAAAAAATACCGGGACTAAAATTATATCTGCGCTAAAAATAATCGAATGGGGAATATACACACATCAAATAAAAATAGAGATAAACCTCAATTACGTTATTCAAGCCATGAGTTAATATTAACTGTTAGTAATGAACGAAAATTCATTGAAATCAGATACTTTTAATGTGTGTGCCGTTTTTGTCATGTCGAATAAACTCGAGCAGAGTGTTTGCATTAAATTTTGCGTTAAACTCGGTAAATCAGCGACTGAAACTTTTGAAATTATTAAAAAAGCATTTGAAGATGAAGCGATGAGCCGGTCTAAAACATTTGAATGGCATAAAAGGTTTATTGAGGGTCGTGAAGACATTAATGATGACTCTCGTGCTGGACGACTTTCAACCGCGGCCGTATTAAACCAAGTTATTTAGGTAATATTGCTTCAGACTTCGGTACTATACATTGGCCATTGGTATGAAATTATTGGTAGTATAGTGATAAGCGAGAGTGTTTGTATAGTGTTCCGATGAATGATGTATTTACTATTTAATAGCATTTATCTACCAGTAAAAAATAATGAGCTCAATATTATCACAAATCGGTTTATAGTTGACCGGGCAAATACGATACACGAGACAAAGAGAATCGTAAAACAAAATAAAAATAATTGTAAAATGAATTACATTGGTGTTTGTATAATTATTTATAATATTGTTAATATTATAACTATATTTTACTTTTACGGGTTATGAACTTTCGAACGCACGTCGTCTTATCGCTGCCTTAATTCATGGTTGGCAAGAAAACACATTAATAATAATACTATAATATAATATGAACATAAAACTGAATTCAATTAATTAGTTATTTTCCAAGAATCCAATTAGTTATGTTTGAAATACCAATTCACACCGATAACACAAAATATGGGATTATATTATGGAGTTCGGTCAATTCGGTTGTTGAGTAGGTACATCGAAAAACCTATAACAAAATAGTTTCTAATTAAAAACCAGGTTTCACAAACATTTTAGTCTTCATAATTATAACTTATTACTTAGTATGGGTTAGTTGTTTTTTTGTATTATTCTACTGAATTATACTGAATAATACCTAGAATGCCATGAAAATTTGATTTTCATAATAGGTAGGTATATTCCTGTATAATCGTCACAATAATCTTAGTTTGCCTAGAATTGCATCAGTTAATTATTGGTCGTCAATCGTTTAATTTTATACTAGGTATTCGGTAAATTTTAGTTGTCATAATACAAAGAACAAAAACTCATAGTTAATAATAAATTATTTGGAATAATGCACAATTTCCTTTTAAAAATACTAATTTTTGCCAACTTTTTTCTCTTTTTTTAATCTAATAAAAATAATTAACACATTTCTGGTTTAATTGCGTATGTCAGTTGATAGGACAATTAAATAGCTTTAAAATAAAAATTAAATTACTTCAAAATGTTGAAAAGTTTTGAAGATACATAAACAAATGCGTGATACGCATGGTTTTGATAAAAAAAAGTTAATCTTCCATAACTATAAAAATTAAAAAGTTGGATTCAATCTTTAAAGGGTATTTTTTCATAATTTTTGGGATACTTTCATATGACAATGGCTGGTCACTTCACACTGGAACACATTGTATATTATTTAATATTAGGTACCTACCTGTTATAATAAATATAATATATATATTATATTAGGCATATAGGCATATATAGCAATTACCAATAAATAATGAATAATGTATCACTTTATTTATAAATTATAATTTACAAGCTTTTTTCCTAGCTATAAATAATCATCGATTTTTTTTTAGTTGATTTATTTAGTGTTACATAGCCTATAGGCTATAACGAAAAAAGTACCTAATGAACAAATTAGAGGACCCTAAATAAATTTTAACTATCGAGGCCCGAGGGCCATGCCCCCCCCTCAATCCGGGCTTGGGCTTGGTACTTAAAGGGCCCCGGATGCATTAATTCAGAAGGGCCTCCAAGAATGTTATTTCATAGAACGATAAAAAGTGCTTATAAGTAGTGTAAAATAATATTATATATTTATTTAAAATACACATTTAAGCTAACTACATATTAGGTAGTAGGTACCTACTAGTTATAGTAATCATGTATAGTTCTAAAAAATTATATAAATTATAATATAAATAACACCTTATAGTAATATTATGCATCGTTGCAACATAATAATATTTTTTAATATCTACAATTTAAATTGTGTATCCAATTGATTTTCTTTATATCAGTAATTGTTGATAAAATTATAATAGTATTATAAAATATTACAATGGTATAATAATATTATATTATAGTAATGATCCACTGCCAATATTCGTAGACAAAGACAACAGTACAACAGTCAACAAGCATGCGCTGCGACGTCACCGCAACAGTCGTGGTGGTGTTGCCGGGCGTTGTTGGCAACATAATATAACAAGTAGGCGGCGGCGTCGCAACAAGCTATGAGTGGCTGGAGAGAGGGGAACGATGTTTCATTCGCCGACTACCGGGAGCGCCTATCTGATAATTGTAATTACTAATTACTATTAAATAGTACCTGTTACGGCAGCACAATAATTGTTCGGTGCACTTATACACTGTCAAATTTTTTCAAGTCAACGCACATTGCCAAGAGCCCAAACGAGTGAATTCCTGTGATTCTAAACATTTTTTCGTCTGTACATGTTAAATTTGTTACCCTAAAATATGGAACGTTATAGTGACGAGTTAATGGAAGATAGCGTTGTAGACGATAACTCCAACCCAAACGAGGTAATGTTATTTTACCCATCAGCATGAGTGCATGATTATTATAATTACTATGGGCTGTTCTTAAAATGTCCGGTTAAAGTTAACCGACACTTAACCGGCCGAATTCCGCCGGTAATAAAATATGTTATCAGTCGGTTAGCGTTAACCGACACTTCACTATACATTGTAAGAACGGCCCGAAATAATTTATTATAATTTATATGTATGGGAGGGGACTTGGGGGGTTCTTAGCCCCTCCAACTATCCTACTAGCCCACCCATTAAAAAATCAGACAGCTTTTTAGTTGTGTGGGATCGAAGCGGTGGGCTCACATTGTGAATACAAATGTTAACCCCTCTAAAATTTTAATGATTTCCGCCTATGATTATATATAATTATTATATACAAGTTATGCGTGGAAATTAAATGTTCAATTGCAGTACCTACCTATTTTGTACGTTATTTAAATCCAGTTCTATTCAGTTAAATACGTGTAATTCTGAATATCAAGATGTTATATAGGATTATTTTAATCATTGTTATAGTCACAATTGTTAAACTCAGCGTACCTACTGTAATTTTGTTCGACAGACAATCCTAAAGAATTAGTTAAAATTATATATATATATATAATATTGGGTATAATCAATATTGATTTTTGCTAACAAAAATGCATTCAGTTTATTGATTGGGATCTGAAAAAAACATGCAAGTTCTAGAACCTAGACTTTTGCCATTATTTTTAAAATTAAAAATGTTCTATAGTTCTAATATTTAATCACAATTTGTATAATTTATTTTAACTGATCACGGGACCAGTTTTTATACACTTCCTTATACACTCATGTATTCATTTTATTTACTAGTACTTTTCAATGAATGCTAATAATTAAAAAAAATGTACTTATGGCAATTATAAGGTAATGTAAATTGTACATATTGTTGTACTTCTATTGATTGTATAGGTATTATACTAGTATTACATAATATTATTTGACCATTATATTGTGTTTATTACTTTTTTTTTGTCACAACCACAAGATACCTATTAGCAAGACTTGGAAAGTTAATGATTTTTTTTTTAACTCAGTTAAGTTAAGTTAACGTGCAACAATAACAAAAAATTAAAAGTTAAAAGTTAATTTAATAATAAGTTAATTCAGTTAAGTTAAAATACAATGTAGGTTTTATATTATTAAACATTGTAAATTGTGAAAATTGTTTATAAATACCTATATATGTTACTCATATAACATCAAATTATTTTTCTCTCTGATGTTATTTTATTATCTTGTCTTGTTTGATATTATATTTAAACTCATTTAAATATAACATCTTGAAAGTAACTTTCACTGCACTGTCTATTTCAAAAAAATTTTGATCACATTAATTGAATATTATATCTTATAATATCTATTTATCAGTGTAATGTAGTATTTAATTGTATGTGCATCTAATAGATCCAATCTGTATTTAGGTGTTCATAGAAATATAAGTTTTTGATAGTGGTTAATAACACAAATTGTAGTAATGTGCATTTTACTTTTATATTATATTTTTGTTCTGTTGGCTGGAGTAATAAGTTAAATATTTTATCTTTTCAAAATAACTTAAAAAATACCACAGGGTAATTTTTATTTATCTTATTAGTTATCAATTATTATATAATATTATTTCAGGGATCTCATTTGTCTATGGCCAAAGATGTTTCTCAAATTAGTATTGTGCAAAAAAACCAAAATATTGAGACAAACGATGGAATACCATTATTGAACGAATATACTGAGTGTTTTCAAGTAATAATTGAAATAACATAAATAATATTATTGTTTTCAAGCTAACTTTATATGACTTACTTGCAGTCGGTAAGCCAGGAGTTCTTATTTAATTACTGTGCATGTAGTTATTTTAAAAACGTTGAAGCCAAAATAATTGAAGAAATGAACAAAATTAAATTGCAATTTGATGTACCATCGAAAATTGAAGAATATGTTAATATTATTCAAACAGAACTCATCATAAAAAATATGAAGACAATTGTAGAGGTTAATATTATATTAATTTAATAATTGTATAAAACTTTTAAAACATTAAAATGGTACATGCAAAATTGAAATTCTACATTTGTCTATTCATTTGTCATTTATTTTGTTTATATCTTTCAGATGGAAAATTGTGGCGTTGTGTGTATGTTGAAGAATAACCAATATGATGATTTGAAATGGATGTACAATTTTTTGAGTTCTGTGAATGGTGGTGTAAAAGTGATGTTTGATGGTATGCGTCCATATATTCGTGAAGTAGGAGAATTTGTTGTACTTGGAATAAACGAAATGTGTACTGATTTTAATGATTGTGTTCAGGTAATACTGAGGGTAATATATTCTTACAAATATGTACTTAAATAATAATTAAACTTTATTTAGCAGTAAATTTTATACATTTATTAAAACTTAAATTTTTCTTAATATATATTCTTTTTAAATTTATTTGATCTGAATTACCTATCTATAATATATTTTTATTTTCAGAGTTTATTGGATTTGAAAAGAAAGTTTGATAATTTAATGGTCAATTTATTCAACAATGACCCCTTATTTTATGAAACTGTTGGAGATGAATTTTCCTATTTCTTACACTTGAATTCTTTAATACCTTATAATCTATCTTTTTACATTGATGAAAAACTAAGACGTGGAATTAGTACGGTAAATATTGTTTTATAAATATAGTTTTATGTCTATTTATTATTGAATGTAAATTATAACCAATTTAATTATTCTTTGAAAGGCTAGTAGTAAGGCCTAATAGACAAATTTGGCACTCCGTTGTTTTCTGCTCATATTTAGTCTTTTCATATTGAACTAGAGTGCCTTGATAGTGTTGACAAATTAGGTAAGAAATTTATCCGCCACTAATTTTCTAAACATTAGTACAGTAGAACATCAGTTATTCGTTTTCTGTTTAACCACCTTTCTTGCTTAACACTTACATATAAACACTCAGGTGTGGCCGTAACACTGTGTGTGAAAAAACCAAATGAAAAGGAACATATTATAATTTGTTGTATATGTACAACTACAATAAGGATATCGTAAGAAGAATCAATAGCTTGCAATGGGGTTTTTTTAGTTACCTATTTGGGGTGGTCAAAACTTTTGCCCCCTTCTATTTAAAACTGAAATGGTGCCAATGATCATAATATTACATTAATACTATCAATCGCACATTTTACTTTTTAATGCTGTACTATGCACAAGATATTGTTATGTATAAAATGTGTCTTACTGTACTCACTTTTAGTCCTTCCTTGGATTTATACATATACTCAAATTATACATTTAGTTTTAAAAATATTTAATTAATTAATAATTAATTTACCATGAAATAAAAAAGTATAGAAAAGTATCTTCTTTGTTAGTCAATAATTTACAATAACTTAAATATCAGGTATCATTGATAGTTACTAAATTTACTTTTAATCACTTAGTAATTACACATCTGAAGATTAAAATAAAATCAACGTACGAATGTAAATATTAAGTGTTGACTAGGCAAGATAATATACTTTATTTTTTCTTATTTATTTGTTTACCTATATTTAAGGGCCAAATTTTGATTTTAAAATAGCTACATATAATAACATACAACAAATTAATAAAACTTTTTTTCTTATGAATTTTTAGCTTAACATTTTTCTTTCACATTAATCTGTTGGCCTGATATATAGCATCTAAAGTTAGGTATTTTTAGAGATGCTTATATACAGTGTGTTCAGCAATAAAGGTAACACAAAATATTTAGAATACTTGACTCTAAATTCCATTTGGTGTTTTATTAATATATAAAGGACACAATTGTATAGGTATTAATATTACATTTATTTATAATAATTTTCTACACATTTTTTTTTAATTGCACAATCTACCCCCCCCCCCACGCATTTTGAGTTTGGATTTGAATCAATTTATTTGAGCAACTTTGATTTATAAAAAATGTTCTTTAAACAAAATTGACTTATTGATAGTGAGTTGAAGTTTTGATTTATGCATGTTGATAAAATTAACATATTTTGAAATAATATTAATTATAATATATAATTTTAATAGTGATTTTGTATGGTTTTTTTTTCGCAAACTCAGAGGTGGTGTTGTAACTAAAGCACATTTTTAGCAAATTATTTACTCTCATTTTCAGTGCTTAGTATAATTCCTTTACTTTATCTTAAAAGTATCAAATATCAAAAATCTATTTTAAATACAGTTTAACAAAAAATTTTGATTTCCAGTTTTACAAAATATGAGTAGAGATACAACATTTTCTAAAAAATTATACCAAACTGTCCAATAACCTCTAGACTTTAAAATAATGGTAAAATTTAAAAATTTTACCTGATAATAAAATTCAAACTTGAATTTAATACTAATTATTGTTTAGTAATAAATAGGCAAAATCACCTGTCATTGATAGAAAAAACTTAAGTATATATAAATACACAAATACACAATGTAATACAATATAATATTAAATAAAAAAAGATTTTTTTTAATACTTCATATTGAATTTAAGCATTTGTACTAGGTATAGAGGCATAGCCAAGTCATTTTCTTAGGAGGGGAAGAGGGGCAACCAAGTCCATTTGGCTCACTAACTTAATAAAAAAAAAAATGTGTCATAAAACTATAAAATGTCTTTTTTTAACTGTATAATTTTCTGGGTGTTCTTAAGTTAATATTAAAATTTAAAACTGTTATTTATACAAAAATGAAATTGCTTTTTGGAAGATAAACTTATAAGAAATAAAGCAATGGATATAAAAATTTATTAAAGACAATTTTTTTTTTTTTTAATCTTTTGGTATTAACAACTAAATTAATATCATCTATTATGTCTTTTTTCCGAGGAAAGTAATCGCAGATAGCTTAAACGGGAGTCATTCTGGGTTGTCCTCAAGTAATTCTTTACGAGCCTTAACTTGCTAATTTTTTAATTTGTCTAAAGTTTCCATTTTCATATTCGTCTTTTTTGTTTTTAGAAGGATATTTTTGTTGGTCAGTAAACGCAATAACTTTTTAATTGCAATTTTCGTTTTACTAATAAAGCCTTTACCTACAACATTCTAACTTAATTTTTAATTTAAAAAAAGTTTAAAAAAACCAACACATTCCCACCTTTAGATCTAAGCTAAGATTTTAATAATATAACATTTTATATCTAACCTAATTTTTTTTAAAGCTCAATAGAAATAACTATACCTATTTTTAATTGTGACTTTTAATGCATACATTTTCCAAAAAACCTAATACATTCACTTGAGAGAAGTAACCAGTGTTCTGACCAAATCGCGGTCAAATCCACGCATCCCCGACCTATTTGACATGTTGGTTGATATTGCACGATCACAACCACGACCGCAACATTATATAGTAATACCATTAGTATTTTTCATGTTGTAAAGTAGGAGAAACGGGGCCTCGAAACGGTCGCTACTTTCAGTGGCTTACTTCTCTCCTGATACTGAGTATAGTTAGTCAGTCTAGATTTTAGATATTTTAGATCTATTTTATGTATTTTTAATTAGTATTACATTAATTATTTACTTACAATTATTACAAATTCTAAAAATACCAGTAGTAGCCAGTGGGACAACGGGTAGACAGTGTAATAATTTAACGGCACACAATATATGAAAACAATAATACCTATCTATATAAAATTCTTTACTGATTGCTTTTATGTAATGTTTTTTGTTCGTTGTTCTGTGGCTAACCATAGACATTAATATAACTGACAATATTTCTATGATAAAATTAATTTTTTTCATTTGATTTCTGTACATCAATTAGGCATTTTTTTTAAATCCTTTATTTGATTTACATAATTTATAAGTATTATAATCATACATATATCTTTTAAGTACTATAATAATAATACCTACTATTATTTATTTTATTTTTTTTTAAAATTATATATAATAATTTTTTATTAATATTTATAATCAATGATAAAACCTAATCAATTTAATTTTAACTGTTTATTAAAGGTTTCAGACTAATATTTTATAGATTAGAAATGGGCTTAATCAATTTTGCATGTTAGTTTAACTATATTCTATGAATTACCAACAATCATGCACAACACATGAAGTCCACATGTGGATAATATTGGGATTTGTTGAATATAGCATATTATTGTAGATATTTTTAAACTGAATTCTATATAATAATAAACCGGAAAAATCAATTTTTGGATTTAGTGTGCTGCATGAACCAATGTTATTTCTTAAATTCTATATTTGGCATTTAAAAAAATAATATTACAACATTCTGGTTAATCGGGTTTTTATTATTGCTTGTTGTATGAAATATTTTAGTATTCTAAAAAATATTTTGAAGCTGATATTGATGAAGTTATGAATATGATAAAATATCTTAGAGACAAAAAATCGTTTGAATGTGACTATCAAATTAATTTATGTGATAGATTACTTCATAGCAAGTGTCCCAGCAAGCAGAATGAGAGTAAAATGATCACCAAACTTAATGTATGTCAAATTGTCTGGTAACTCGATAAATAAAATTTTCAACAAAATAATGTAATTTTATTTCATATAGAGTACATATGTCAATGGCTATGGCACTTTATACATTTCCAAATTAAATGGTATGCTACAGGATAAGTTTGATTTGACCAAAAGTGTTATGAGAAACTATGAAGACAGGGTTGATGTAAACAAATGTATTTTTGTAAGTAAAATTGTAATTTAATTTACAGTGAATACATGCCTAAATGTTTACTAATATTTTTTGTTAAATATATAGGGCATTTCAAAATCTTTTGATTTTGACATTGATGTACGTGTAATAACTTCAGTTAATTGGCCAATCGATCGAGAACTTAAACATGAAATACCATCATTTGGATTGTGTGCTTTTAATGAATTCAAAACGTAAACAAATTTATATTATATTTTATAATCTATCTATATATATATAAAACTGAAATCAAGGAAAAGAGGAAATCTTTGTTACGGGTTGGCTTCGAAACTTCTTATCCAATTGTCATGCAGTTTTTTTTAAATGAAAGAGGATATCACGGAGCAGGTCTTAGGCATAAATAAAGTCTGATAATGTTAATCAATAATTAGTTATCTATACATATAAAATCCAAATACCACTGACTCACTGATCGCTGTATCTCAAAAACTACTCAACGTACGGACTTAAAATTTGGAATAGAGGTTCTTCTCATATTTTCACCGTGCAATAAGAAACGATTTTCAAAAATGTTGCGTTTTAGTGGAGTAATTAACTAATTTTTTTTTAATTAATTATAAACGCGAAAGTTTGTGACTGTTACTCTTTCACGTAAAAACAACTGGACCGATATTGATGAAATTGTTACACTGTGTGTATTTTGATCCAATTTAAAACATAGGCTAATTTAAAAAGGGAAAGGACCAACCCCGGGAGGTGCTCAAACGGGAATTTTGAGATTTCAGATGGAAATTGTTGTTTGTAAATTGTTGCCATGGATATATAAATAATAATAATGATTAAAAAAAAAAATTATTTTATTTTCTTTTTAAATATAAATTATATTTAATGCGATTAAATAAATTGATTATTTTAATCAACAGTAGGCGGAATTGAGTAAAAACGACAAACTTGGTATAACTTTGATACTTTAGAGTTAAATCATACACTTCCGTACAAACTGCACGTGGTCCGCGATCTACCACAGGTAGATTTCCTACTTGATAATGTACTGCTGCGGAGCAGAATTTTTATTCAGGGCAACGGAAAATTCAAGTTAAATTTGGAACACCACACACCGAATATTAAATAACGAATTGAACAAAGTTTAAGTCATATTGAGTTGATACATTTAACGGGCGACGGAGTGCACGGGATCAGCTAGTTATACATATATAAAAATGAATGTATGTCTGTCCTCGTGTCCATATTACCATGGCAACCAATCCCGGGAAGTGAATGGAATGTTTGTCTACCCTGTGTGTGTGTCCTTTGGCTGCCATGGGTTTTGAAGCTATTATAATAAAAATTATTGGTGGCCGGGCAACAAAGTGCACGGGATCAGCTAGTAATAAATAAAAATGTTCCTTATGAACCTTGAATGTCTGTTGTATTAGAATACATTTATACTAATTAGAAAAAATAAATATAATTTTTTTGCTGGATTTATTACATGCAATATATTTATTACTACAATAATATTATCATTTTTCTTATATTATATTAATAAATTGTATACATTTTTTTAAATTAAATATTATCATCATAAAATATTGTAATTACAACTGTATTATTATTTTGAGATTTTACCATGGCAATTTATTTTCTGCTTTAGCCCACAAGGGTGGGTTGCATAAACGTCCTGTACCTCTTTACCGAACCGCTAACGGTTCTTTAAATAAAACTGGGTGTTGCTAAAACGCCCGATAGTGTTAAAGTTTCTGTAAGAGATAGATTAACGGACCTTTAAACTACAGATCAGATTTTGGTTTGGTAACTTACAGATCGGTGAAATATCATTGATGTTATCAATGTTATTGGTAGTTTAATTTATTTGGTAATCGCGGTTATCAATAATTTAATATTTCTTTATGCAACACTAACATAGTTTACCACCATAAGTAAATAAATCTATAATTAATTATTAAATGTTTATAAATAGCTAAGCAAATTATAAATAAATGTTATTTATATAATATAATGATAAACGATCAATCTTTGTTTATATTCAACAGAATCTACAAAGAAAATAAGCAGGATAACGCCAAAAAGAAATTAATGTTATTACCTCAGTTTGGTACAGTTGAATTGGAAGCACATTTTTTTGGCAAGCCTAGTTTGGATATATCATTTGATAATGAATTACCAATGAACAACATTAATCAGGTACATCGTACGCTCAAACTTGAAGTAACAACTTACCAGATGTGTGTGCTTGACTTTTTCAATGCTAATAATACAATAACGTTTGAAGTAATTTATTCATCTTTATATTTTATGAACACTTTTTTTAAAATTATTACCATAATTTATTAATTTACAGAATTTACTAAATAAAACTAAGATTCCTGAACTAAATTTAATTAAGTCTTTAAAAGACATGATGCAGAATGGCAATAATTTGAAGAATTTACTTATCAAAACTCCAAAGGGTGGAGAAATAAATAAGACTGACTTTTTTTTTATTAACGAATCATTTGATTTTATATGATATATGTAAATATAAATTTAATATATATAAGAAAGTTTAACATAGAAGTATAATTTTTAATAATAAATTTATGAAAAAGTTAAAGTTAGTAATTAATGTATTTTTATGTTTAAAATAATCTAATTAAATACCTACATATTTATAAAAAGTATATTTGTATTTGTTTAGTTATGTAATAAGATCAAAAATCATCAGGGAATAATTTATATTTTCCATAAATATAGTAATATATTTTACTTTAAAAGGTTTTTACTTTTTAATATTTAACATATTTAATTCTTTAAATGTATAGATAAAATACTTGATAATAATATTATAGATATATTATATCTGATTTTAAATTTGTTTTGATTGTTTTAAACAACTTTTTACAAAATGTTCAAAAGACTTTATAATTATGAAAAATGTACTTATTTAAAATGTTACAAAGTGTTCATTAAGATAATAATTTCTACTATTTTTTATTTTAAGAATATTTGATGTTATATAATTATTGACTATTTGATATAATATGAAAATACGTGTATTAATTAATATAACATTGATTCCAATATTATTATTATTATTATTATTATTATTCCTTATAGATACCAATTGTGACAAAATGTCAATAAGTATAATATTATAATTTATAAACATATTATTCGAGGCTTGCTGCTTGTGCTCTAAATTTATTAAGATATAATAATATTCAATTAGGTATTTAATGCTGAATATTTTGTACTGACAGAAATCTTATTATCTATGAATATCTTTGTAATAAATTAGGCTTTGACCTGTTAATACTAACCTACCTATTAATATATTTAATATTTTCATGTAGACTGAAGCGATAAGACAAGTTAGTAATTGTAATAGAGGACGTGGATATGGCAGGGTGATGATAGTCGTGGATAAACGTTATGAATCAGAATTGTAGAAGCACGTCCCTATCAACAGCATTGAGCAATTTTTTGTGATGATAATAGGTACTGGTAGCAATTTATATAATTTTATTTTGGGTACATAATATTTACCATCAGCCAGTCAGTTTAATAAGTATATTTCTCTTACTAGTCTAATTGAAACGGTTGAGTATATTTTTAATTTATACATGTTTGATATTTATTTGATACTAGTAGTGGTGATTTGAATCTAACGGGCTTTCGGTTAATAAATAACTACATTAAAAACTATGATTGAGATAATTTCTAATTTATGAAAGTGTAGATTATAAATTGATCAGTTCCAGTGTTTCATATGAATAAAATTATTGTCAATGAATTTGAATCTCAAAAAAAGTTTGTCTTGTTGCATAAAATTAAATCACTAAAACTATAACGTATTTACGTAATAACTATATTTTTACCATTTTTTTAAAATAACAATTTTCTTACGAATATATAACAATAAATCTATTTAATAATAGTTGAAAGGGGACGTAGTAGCCGAGTGGTCCTAGGCGTCGGTTGCGACGCAGCCGTCGCCGGATTGATTCCCGACCATGGGCGGAATTTTTCTTCGGCAAGCCACCACCCGGTCACAGCAGATACCTACGGGTGACCAAATCGAAAATTCTACCAAAAAACACACATGTGTAACAACCTACAGTATCCTCCCCCCCTTACAGTACCACATTCTAATGACCTAAGTAGTCGAAGCCTTAACCCTAATAAAAAATAAAAATAAATAATAGACAATTTATTGTATTTTATATATTATCTATATTATCAATATTTGTTATAACTTTAAAGTATAAATAAATATATATTAGCAAAATCTGTGTCGTTTATGTCCACATTCATCAAAATCAACATGTAAAATGTAAATGTCTTCACTAGTTAATGTTAAAGTATTTTTATTTTCAACATTTGCAAATTTAGATTAGGTGTGCTGACATTCTCCGGTGACTGTCAGCATTTACCATACTGCGGACATATTTTACAGATACATATATATTTAATTAGTTGTACATAGATACCTAATATTAATTTTTTTTTATACTTCAAAATATTACTATTTATATTTATAATAGGTACCTAAGTAGGTACCTAGTACTTTGCATTAATTATTTTCTATAAGTTTGATGTTTTATAGATAATATTGTATAAATTTATTCATTTTGTGTCCGATTTGAGCTCATCTATAACTGGGAATAATGACCACAAAATCAAAAATAATGTTTAAATCTCAGTACTAGACGCTTTCATTTTGATGTTATACATTTTATGTCTGATTGTCTGATTTTAGAAACTTCATTAAATTATATGCAAATGTATGTGATATATAATTTTTTTTTGTCACTTGTTATGACTAAGCTTTGTCACTTTTGACTTGATGTCACTTATTCTTATGACATAAACAGCTTTATTAATTTATGCTGTAAGCAGAAATAATGATAATAATATAAATGTTTATACTGCAATTACTGGTTAGTAATACTTCCAATATTGATCGAAACTGCTTCAAAATGTCTTAGACATCTGGCAACATTGAAAAAGTGATGAACCAATGTTATTTATAAAACATTTTTGAAACACCACACATACTTTTTGTTATTAGTTAATTATACTTTGATATTTTAAAATACACATGTTTATTTTATCGTATATGTGTGAAAGTCCAAGCTAACTTACTTCTAGGTGAACAAAGCAACATGATAAAATTTCTTTTAAGAGGTAAGAAATATTAATACTAGAACATTACCAACATAATAATCACCACAAGAATTTACCTAAATAATCATTCGATGCTGCAGAAAATGTTTACATATTTTTGATAAGAAAAAATATTCAAATACAATGAGTTTGACAGCTTCCATGTTTATAAAATTGCAAATCCTGAAACAATAATAGGATTATAGGAAGTAGTAGTAAAACTACTGTATAATATTTTGAAACCAAAACTTTTTTTTAAATATTTTATAAATCATTTTTTTCAACAACTTTCCATCAATCTCACATAGTTTGTAGGTTTACCTTACAAATTAATGTTTATGAATACAAAATATTATATTGTGATTTGATTAAATTATGAGAAACCGCTTGTTTCTTTAAATCTATGTCAGTTTGTATCTTTTCTTCTAAATTATTAAAACCTTTATCATCTGAAAATTGAAAATATGAATTCACCAATGAATTCATTACTACCACATATATCATGTTCATGCAAACTTGCAACCTGCAACTTGCAAGGATTATTGTTGAATTTATATGCTACAAAATATTTGCTTCATATTCTGTTACCTATACCCAAAATTATGTTATTTCAATTTTTAAAAAAGCCAAATAAATAAATAGAATTTTTTGGAAATATAAAAAAAACTTATTGCAATTCTTATAAAAAGTGAAAACTACTATATGAGTCTGGTTATATACATTTTATATACCTAGTCAATGTTGGGTGAATTACTTTTGAAAAGTAATAAAATTATGTTACTCGTTACATTAAATATTTTTATTTAAATTATTACATTTGCGTTACCCGACATTATTTTTATCACATACCTTTACTTTTTTATTCAAAAAATAGGGCGTTATAAATAATATTATATTTTTTATAAAATAATTACAAAATCAGTCCATAATGAATAATAAGTAGGTAGTTGGTACATTGTTAATGACATAATGATATACCTTAAGGGGATTCCACACTACCGCATTTTAGAGTAAAATAGATCTATACGCGATCCAACTTACTAACTTGAGTTTTAATCCTATAATAATTTTTAAACCATATTTGAATTTATTATGAAGTCTATTTTCAACCCTTCAAATCAGAATAATAAAAAAAAAATTTAAAACTATTTTTGTCCATTAAAATTTATATGAATACAATTTTTTTCTTCTAAATTTCAAGTGAGGTTTTTCTTTTTAACATTTCACCATGAAATAAACTTGTTTTTAGGCATAATGTGACATGTGCATGCGAGTGTTAGTGCCAGTGCCGCAATTACTGAGTGTGCAAGGTGTGCAATGCACACGGGCCTCCAGCTCTTTTTGCTTTATTATCCTGCGAATATTTTTAGATTTTATGTTCTTGCATCTTGCTTTAAAAATAAATAAATTATAGGCATAGTTATTAAAATATATAGTATGCAATACAGACTACAGTGCCAAATAATAATAGTAAAATAATAGACAATAGTAGGTTCTAATAGGCTGCGGGTATACAAGGCGATACTCGCGGCGAATTCCGCTGTCATCGAAAACCTATATTATGATTAATATGAATAAATCGGGCAAGCTATACGAGTTCACCGCGAATTGATCCGCCGCGATATTGTCGGCTGACGATTTTTTTCAAAACCGCCCAATCCATAAAACCGCAAAACCGTCTAAACTTTTAATAATAGCAGCTATACGGGTATTTTGGTTTAGCGAATTTCACGGCGATTATTACTATAGTACGGTATTTTAATACAATATTATTGTAAATGGTATTATTGTAAAATCGTAAATATCATAAACATAATATTATATTATTTCACCGGGTACAAAATATATATATATATAAAGTGTATGTATATAATCAGTCCGGAGCAATCGTCGGGGCAGGGGCCATGCCCGGCCCCCGCATTTGAGGCCCGATTAGTGCTCCCCCTAATGAAAACAAAAAAAAACAAAAAGTTAATTTGGGATCATGAGTCTTGGTAAACAACATATACTATTATACTAAACAAAAAAATATCCCAAAATATCCCAGGTATCATTAAATTTAAGTGATTTCTACGTTCTGAATTTTTGTTGTTATAATGGTTAAATAAATTCGACGTTGTAGTATTGCCATTTGATGTAGCCAATAAGTACATGTAATGTATAATATATAAAATATACTAATAGTTACCTACTTTCTGATTTAGAAATTTTAAATTGCTGCAAAGATTTTGGAAAAGATTTGTCAGATAATGACAAAAAAATTTAAATGGTTATGATTTATACGAAGAAATAATAATTTTCCACCATTTAATTGATAAAAATACTACACCACTTCTAGTACTTTCTGAAATAAAAAAAACGAACGCATTTCCTTGAATATTTCCTTACAAATTATGTTAACAATTCCGCTTACATCGGCTGGAGCAGAGAGAACATTCTCAAAATTAAAACTTATAAACTTATTAGTACCATGTCGCAACAAAGACTTACTGGACTTGCTACAATTTGTATAGAAAAAGAACTTTCAGATTTTCAGAACAACTAAATTATGAAGATATAATAAATGATTTTGCATTTAAAAAAGCTAGACAAATTAAAGAATTATAACTGACAACATTTTAGGTACTTTAACAATTTATTATGTATTTAAAATATAAAGAAAAAAAAAAATATCGTTAATTGTTCAGCACACTTACTTTTTTTAAACTTCGTTTATAAATATAAGTTATTACTTATCTACTAGTATTTTAAAATTACTTATTAGTTTATTTTCTATGCAAATAATAATATGATTATACATTTATCATTGATTGTTTTGATTTTCTTTACATACCTACTTAAGTACTTAATGTAAAATAATCGTTGGTTTTAAAATCCATGGACAAAATTATCTTTTGAATTAAATCTATAATTAATTTGGAATGGGGATGGAATGTATAAGATACGAATGAGGGCCCCACATTTTTGACTTGCCCCGGGCCCCGCAAAACCTAGCGCCGGCACTGTATATAATATGTGTATAAAATATGTTTTAGTGAGGCACGACATTTGTAGTTGTCTAAAGAGGGAGGCGTAGCCCTCCTTTTAAAAAAAAAAGAAAAAACAAAGAGTAGGTAAATAGAGGATTTATTAATATATATAGTAGTATACGTGATACGTCATAATACATATATACATTTATTAAATATATTATATATTATAATATATTTAATCTATTACATTTATTTAATTTAGAATTTAATTATATAATTTAAATTACATAGGTAGTAATTTTTATAATTATTAATTTTTTGATTTTATTTTTAATAGTTTTTATGAGAGTAGCTTTTTTTACTTTATAAGAGCTTAAAGTTGTAGGTTATATTCAGTTACGAAAAGGTCCTAATAAGTTTTTTATTAAAGGTATCTTGTTCGATTGGAAAGTGAATATCGTTGGTGCATTGGGGAGGTTAAAATTTAAAATTCCTAGTAATTTTAAAAAGTGCTAAGAAAAACAAAAGAAAAATTAAGGAAAAACGGAAATTTTTACGCAAAATCAAATTTGGGTTTTGGTGTAACTTTAAAACAAATGACCGTAGAGACATGAAATTTTCACTGGTTGCTTATATTTGCATTTTCTATACACGCTAAAATTTTCGAAGTATTATGATTTGTTTTGAACTAAGGGACATTTTCATTTTCCATTTTTTTCTAAAAATATCAATACAATTTTATTTGTTGGTTAAAAAAGCTTGAAAATTTAATAGAAGGCTCCTCGTATATTTTTTCAAAGGCAAATGAAAAATATTAAACATTTTTTGTCACAGTTTTTTTTTATAAGCATTTAAGTAAAAAAGTCAGGTAAGTAGATGTCGCTCTGCTGTACAGTAGATTACAAGTGCGTCAATGTATAATGGATTGCATTAATCTTGAATTCAATGATATTCTACCTAACATTGTATAAGAAAAACGATTCTGAGCGGAAACGATTTGTCATTGTCAGTCTAGATATTTTATATTGTCATTAATTATTATATCATGTAAGTTGAATTAATCTTATAATATTATTATTTTTTAATCGATTTTCTATGGTAATTAACAAAGCGATAGAAATTAATATACAAATATTATCGTTTTTTCGTAATTTTTTGGTGGTTTTTACAGTGGAATTAAATAACTATTGATAAAATCAAAAAATGACCTCTTTAAAGTACCATCTTGATCCAATTTGCTAAAAGATAAGATACCTACTATATATTGAAATCGAAGCACTCGTACAAATTTTGTATACAGGATATAAAAAAAAAATAAATCAACACTATTGTAAAACCACTAGATCAGCTCAGAATCTAAAATTGACAAAATATGGAAAAATCACGAAAATTAGCAAATTATTTTGAGTTTGGAATTCGTAAAAAATTTTTTTTAAATCTAAGATTTTAAAGTGTAATACAAGATTTATTATAAGATTATCTACCTTTTTCAAAAAAAAAATTTTTATGAGCGTTTGAAATTCAAATTTTTACAACATTGGATATTCACTCGATTTCTCATGTAGCGATTTCCTTATTTTGTTGTAATTCAAAAACGAATAACTGGAGATACATGAAAATTTCACTGAATGTTTATATTAGAATTTCCTATAAACCATACAATTTTGAAAATATTTTGACTCATTTTGAGCTGTTTACAATTTCATATTTAAATTTTTTTTATTTTTTTTTTTCTATAAATATGAATAAAGTTTTATCTGGTTTGCCAAAAAGTGTAAAAATATAATACAAGGCTCCTGATATATTGTTACAATATCAGTTGAAAAATATTAAAAATACATGGGCACAATTTTTTTTAACAGAATTTAAAGATCGAATTTTGACAAAATTTATCAAATTTAAAATTGAATAATAATTTTGTAGTTTAAAATTTATAAAATGTTCAACTTTTATATCTAAGGATTGAAAATTTAAAACGAGATTCCACGTAAGTAGTTTATTCTGTTACCAAAAAATCTAATAAATACATAAACAAATTTTATTTTTATAGTCATTTTAAGTTCAAATTTGGACGAAATTACATAATAAAAAACCTAGAATAACTATTTTAGTTATTTTGTTGTGATTTGATAATATCATTCGTGGGTGCTTGAAACTTCTAAAGTACACTATTATATATCTATGATAGTATCAGGGTTTGTTGTTGATGTATAACGCGTTATAAGTACCTAACGAATATTGTGATATGATTAATTTGGAATTTATTATAGGTACCTACCTATTATAGGACAATTATTTTTAATACCATAGATAAGTATATAATATGTCTTATACCTAGATTGGCATACCGTCTCCGCTCAGAATCGTTTTTCTTAAACAATAATATTTTATCATTGAATTCAAATTTAATACCATCCATTATACAGTGACCCACTTGTAACCTACTGTACAACAGAGCACCTGTTTTTAGTTTAAAATATAAATTAAAAAAACCATTTTTCAAATATAATGCATTACCTATATAAATTAATTTTTAAGTTGGTGGGTAGGTAACTAACTTGAAATATTTTTGATGAATGAACAATGAAATTAAACAACTGTCAACTGATAATTTGATTAAATTTATCAAATAGGTAGACAATAAGTAGGTAGTTAGTGCCCAGCTTTGTCTGATTTATTAATTTAGGGATCACATTATTAAAATTGGTTTTGGTATAAAGTTTCATATTAATAATATAATAACTAGGTACCTATATTATTTATTTAATAATAAGGTTATAACTTCTTCACTTTCTTGTCTAATTAGTATGATGTACATAAGATCATAAATAATTGCATACAAGTTAAGACACGAAAAAAGTAAGTACTGATAAATATTTTGAAGTAATACAAAAATCAAGTAAAAAATTATAATATTAATTTGTGGCCTCCAAACAAATGTTGCACACGAGCACACGGGTCTCAGAGTTAATAGTTGTGGCACTGGTGAGTGCGAAACGTTTATCTAGGGTACAGGGAAGTCACTCACACTAATGATCATTTACTGCAAACACACATGCACGCCACTCAAGCAAGTACTATACACATTGTCTAAAAATTGCCTATACTCAACTCCTTAAAAACGGTTGGTATGGAATCCCCTTAACAATATTTATAAGTATTAATTCTTGAGTTGCTTAAAAATAAAATATTGTTGATTATTATTTAGTTTTATTTATTTTTGATTATTATCAAATATCCTAGCCCCTAGTTTTTGCCATTCATAACTTATTTTAATAACTTAGAAAATAACACGTTACTCCCTAGAGATTACTTTTAAAAAGTAATTTTGTTACAATTGCGTTAATTTAAATAAATTAAAATTAAATTACTACAGCATCACTGCAAAAGTAATTTGCGTTACTACTTAACTAAGAAACTACTCAACACTGGATATAGTAGATACTGTGTAATTAATAACTCTCATCCTGTATCTAATTATGTAGTGCAGTGAAAATATTAAACATATTAATATGTACCTAACTCATAAGTTTGTATTTTTCACTCCTTTCAATCAATATGCAAAACCTTACCAATATTTCCTTTGATACTTTAGGATCAAACACTCTTTACACAAAAACTTATAATCATCCTAGCCCAGTTATAAACAATAATTCTTCAGTCAGATAAATAGCTCAAGTTCATCTTTAACCTTCATAATTAAAATATCCTTCTCAGACTAATAGAAATAAATCCTATAAAAAAATAACAATTTCAAGTAGAGTTAATGGACCTCAAGTCCCCAACATTCAATCAACTTTCCTGCTATGCATTTTAGATTCTGAGAGAAGCGATGAATGTGTTGGTTTAACAATGATTTGTGTTTTTTTTAATTAATTTAAAATTTTTTATTTTATTTGTGCCTGTCATCAACTTTTAGGACAGTAAAAATGCTTAGATTTTATTTGAATGTATCTTTTCTGATAGGAAAGTGAATCTAGTTGGTACTTAGGTGGGCAAAAATTAAAAATTCCTAGTAGTATTCAAAAGCTAGGGGAAAAACAAAACAAAAAAAAAATTAAAGAAAAACTGGGAATTTTTAAGCAAAATTGGTTTTTGACAAAATCGATTTTGATATTTGATGTAACTGAATAAAATATTTATGTAAGTACCTATATTAAAATGTATAGGTATACAATATTATATATTTATATTTTGGTGGAATGATGAAATAAATAAATTATGTAAATATGCTGTTTTATTTGAGCCGAACTTCGTAATAGACCTATTCTTGGTTCCACATTACAGTTACAGATTTATCGGCATAGTGGATAACCGTTTAAGTTTGTACATCGCATTCATTCTTGCTGAAACGTCTGGCATGAAATTCAATACATCAGTTATCTTTCTATCGATTCTTGAAGTGTGTACAGCTTTTGTTTCGAAAATCATTTTAGATACCTGTAAAAAAAATTAAGTAAATAATGCAATTGAATTATAAGGTGATACAGGTACCTATAATAAATAAACAAATAATTTTTTTAAGTTATTTAATTTCAAGTTATTATAGTATGTTGAAATTATTATCTTAAACTAAACTATATTTTTTTTTTATTGATAGGTATTTAAAAAATTGTATAGATTCTGAGCCGAACGATTAATATATTGTTTTACAATTATATGTGTTTTACTGTTTTTTTTTTTTTTGCGTCTGTTACTTTTTAGGACAGTAAAGTAGTAAAGATATGCTTAGTTTTTCTTCAATAGCATTTCGTATGGTATTAAAGAGAATATAATTGATACTATGGGAGGTCAAAAGTAAGAGATCATAATAATATTAATATTCAAAGGCGTCAGGAAAAACCAACAAACAATTAATTTTGATTTTTAGTGTAACTCTAAAATAGCCGTAGATAAAGAAGTTTTCACTGAATGTTATATTAGCAATTTCTATGCACCATTTTCGAAATATTACGACTCTTTTTGCGCTACCTATTTATAGACATAAGAAAAATTCGAGATTATTAGTTTTTTAAAATTATTGTAGATAAAAATGTTGCATTCGTCAAAATACTTGAAAATGTAATACAATGTTCCTCATAAATTGTTATTATGGGAAATTTAAAAAAATTAAGGGTAAATCCAAAATATTTTTTCATGAGCGTCTAAAGTTTAAATTGTGCATCAAAATCACAAAAATTGGAAAATTATTTCGAGTTGGAAATTCATGAAAAATTGTATATGTAAATCTATCATAGATTTGCATTTTTTACATGAGATTCCCCTTAAGTTTTCCTATATTTAACAAAAACAAAAGTTTACCGGAAAGTCAAATTAATTACCTAATCTACGAGCGTTTGAAGTTAGACATTGGATATTCAGTCATAAATTAACAAAGTCCCCTACAAAGATTTTCTTATTTTATTGTTATTGAAAAACTATTAACCATATAGATGCTTTACATATTTATCAAATTTTTATTTCATTATTTTATATACATAATACAATTGTGGACATATTTTGACTCGTTTTGAGTTATTTATGGACATTTTAAATGTATACATTTTTAGGTTTTTATTGTATAAATGTCAATAAAATATTATTCGTTGAGTCAAAAAACCTTGAAAATGTTATACAAGGTTCCTTATAAGTGTCTATATCAGCAATTGATAAATATTAAAAATCCATGATCTCTATTTTTTTTACAAGTGTTTAAAATTCAAATTTTGAAAAAATGTATTGAAATCTCAACAATTTTAAAGGTATTGCTGTTTTGTGTATAATCTACCTATAATCATATTATGAGTTTTCTAATATTTCTCATACTATTAACTAAACCCGCATTCCGGATAGGTATTTAAAATTATTATACTTTTCGGTACTGAAATTATCTAGGACCGGAACCGCAATTATTTGGAACTGGTAGGTAACTTTATTTTTTTTCATCACAGAACCAGAACTGATACCGGTAAATTCAAAAAGTTCCAGTCCCTGGTTTAAATATTATTCAAGGGCACTTGAGACTTTTAGAGTACCTACCTATATTATTAAATTGTATATAATTTATTGTAGGTACACAATGACATTTTCAAATGTAATTTTTTTGGTAAAAATCAATTTAACCTCTAATAGTAAAATTAATTATTTTAATCACAATAATATCATCAAATCTAGTTGGTAATATTATATGCTGATAGACCGTCTTCAACAAAATCTTTTTTTATATACAATAAATTATTGAATTCAAATTCAACAAATCCCTACAGTGACTCTCTAGAGCGGCAAAGCGTTAACCACTTACCCGATTTTTCTGTTTAAATGTTTTTGTGGTATCAAAAGAGTAAGACAATTATAATTGGCATTAGTTACAATAATTATTATGTGCATACATCTACTAACCTTATCTAAAAACATTATGACTCCCGGCACTTGGAGTTTATTCGCGATTTCAAGAGCCTTGTGTAATATGGTACAACACTTAGGTTTATCGTCTAATTGAAATTCAATCGATACGAGTAAAACCAATGCATTCACAGTCCATGTATTATTATTAATTTCTTTAGCTAATTGTAAACATTTGGTGGCTTTATTTCGAGCTTTTTTAAGGCCATCAGATTCCAACTGTAGGTAACATTTAGCTTCTTCATAATATATGTACATTTTTTCTATAATGGAATCCGATTTTTCAAAACGAGTGCATAATTTATCTATAGTTATTCTGTAAAGTAAATAGTATAATGTATATTACGACTACAGAGAATTGAACAAACTATTGATACATCCATGACAGTCTATGTTTATAATCCATAAATTGAAGTATAATCATTACGTTATTGGGGTGAATTAAAATTACAGCATAATGCCTAAACCTAGCATATAATTAAAAAATGAACAGTCATGACTCAATATAATATTAAACATTAATTTCCCCGAATAATCCATACATAAATTACAACGTTTGGTAACATAATATTATCTAGTTATTCAAATATACTTATATCTCATGAATAGGGCAAGCACTTTCATGCATTTGTATATTTTCTGTGGTTAACTTTATCGTCAAAAAGGATGTTAAAAAGAGCTTGTTTTAAGTTTGTAGTGAATATTTTAATGGTTTTGCGAAAATCAAGCAAAATTATTCCAAAATAGTTCACATTAATTGTTTGAATCATAGTCTTCAAGAAAGTTTCAAAATTCTACAATATAAGAACGTTCACTACTATTTGAAAAATTTTGATATCTCAGTACAATTCCGATTTAGGTAAAATAAATATTGAGAATTATTTAACAATTATTTTTAAATATATTTTTTGTTTTATTAAGTACAGCATAATAATTTTTAATGAAGAATCAGATCCGCATTTCCTGTATTATAATAAATATTTAAAATAAAGTATAACTTTTTAGTGTAATAAACTTTTTTTGTGGGGCATATTTAACTAGATTTTTTAAATTTTCTGATGCAGAAATGCATAAGTATTTTTAATAGCATACCTTATGACTTTTTAGTGCATACAAGTCCTAGCCCTACTCATGAATAATAAAATACACGTGATTATAAGGTAAATTATCTTGTTTTAGTAAGTATGACAAATATTTATAAATTCAAAATATTTTATTAAAAGTAAATCATGTTATACTTCATCAATATTTTTAAGATTATAATATTATATTAGGTAGTATTAAGTTCTTATATAGAATCTTCACCAAATTTTTAATGTCTAAAAGTTATAAATACCTATGAGGTAGGTATAAAAACAATTTAAGATTTAAAATAGTTTGTAAAAAAAAATATCTTATATTAGGTATCTGTCACTATTTGTAGGTATTTTGTAATTAGTTGGGTTTTTCATAATGAAATAGGCAACTATATTCAAGCACTTTAATGCTGGAAAATACCTATTTTTATATACTATTATAATCATTCATTAAAAATCATCTCATGATCTAAGTTCGATCGTACCTTGGATTTATTTCTAATGGTCCAAATAAAGATTCCTGGAGTGGCATGTTATTTTTAGCAGCTCCTAAAAAAATTAGCATTCTTTGATGATTATCTTTTATGCTCCACCGATTTATGTTTTGAAATAATATATATTGCGCCATTCCAAAACTCTGGAAAATCGCATCTAAAATTTTGTTGAATTTATAAGATTTTTTCTCCATGAACTCTATCATAAGCTCGGTTTTTAATTTGGCTTCTTTGATTTCGTTGTTTATTAGCAGTTGAATAATAATGTTTAAGTATTTACAAATCATAAGATGTCCCATGTTCTTAATTAGTTTTGAATTATTTATTTGGGTTAAAAGTCTATCGCCTTTCAGTTTAGGCTCATCACATTTATAGACAAAAATCTGTTTTCTTTTATAAAATTGTTCCTTAAATAAAATATAAAAAATTATTGACATACAAAAAAAAATAATGTACGTTAAAGATAAATTTACGTACATACGCTACATCTAGTGTGTCGACCACTCGTTTCATGTTACCTAAAATTTTCTTTTCTGCCACGTAAAACGGCCGCTTAGGACCACCGGACTTAAGCACTTTATCGAAGTACTTTCTGTCTTGTGCTAAACGACCAAGATAAAATGATTGATTTCTTTTTTTGCACGTAAGTTTTATTTTAGAAAGTATCGAGTTCAAGGCTGCTACGTTATCCAAACCCCCCAGTTTTGTCAACTTAAGAACTGCATTTCCCAAACAAGGTTTTCTATATTTTTCTTTTCTTAAATTTGTCGAGCCGTTTATTATTTCTGATACCTAAAATGATTGTTGCTTATAATATTATATTATAGCATAAGTTAAAAAAAAATAATCTCATCGTACAATTGTTTAGGTATTTGTTTCACGGAAAATACCTTTAAAACTCCCAATGCAAAATCTAATGGCTGAATCCTTTTTTTTACTCCGTTCAAATATGTGATTAGACTTTCTTCAAATTCTTCATTGTCTAGCATTATACTTGCTCTGTTCTCCAAGACTGATAATTCATTAGGAAATTCAGCTTCTGCTAGCAAATGATTTTCGTAGGCCAATTTCGGTTGAAACAAGTTCTGTTGACATTTGCTTAGAAGGATTCTAGTGCTTAAATCATACTTGGACACCGCCAATACTTTTTCACAGTATTGAGCAGCTAAAATATAATGATTTTTGAGGTTTTTAAAAATATATTATACAATTATATTAACCATAAGCAATAACTAATAGGTAAGTAACAACAGATTTTGGCACTATAACCATTCATAATAAATACATACATAGGGGTTGGTGGAGCAGTACCGTATGGTGAAGCTTCGATGGTTTATAAATCATGTAACTTTTTAACAAGATGCAAATTTTTAAACTGATATACGTTGAAAAACTTTCGGTCTATAACTTTTATATGAAACTCTTTTACATTTTTCTTAAAATAATGTGTGTAATTTTTATTTTACTTTTTTTAGAAAAATACGATCTAACCAAAAACCTGGGATAATACCGTATGTACTCTGGGGCATAACAGGCCATGGCATTTATCGTATAATTTTTGACGAAATTACATTTTTAAACTGGTATACATTGAAAAACTTAATTTCTTTAACTTTTATTTGAAACATTTTGACGTTTTTTTTTTTTAAACGTGTTTAATTTGTGTTTTACGTTTCTTACGTATTTTTCCCCAACAAGAATTTTAAAATAAATCGAGTATATGTAACGTATATTGTATAGCTGCTCCATACACTAATTATTAATTTGTACCTATTACCTAATGATTTTGTAACACTTTACCTATTTCATAATTATGCTTTTGAAATTCTCGTTCAGCTATAGATTTTGTAACCGATATCTCATTAAACCATAACTTAGGGCCTTCATCATCTTTTCGGAACATTTTGATAAAAATGAAACGGTAGTAAGTTTAAAATATTTTACTTCAAACGTTTTTAAAATTGTAAATTTTGTAAATTTTTACGAGAACACAAAAATATTTTTATTTATTATTATTTGCCCATTAAATAACATGGCAACAATTTTTTGTATATTAGATCACATGACAATACAATTTTAGTTTGACAGAAATGTTTTTAAATCTACAATACACATTTTATTAAGACGATATAGCTAAGGTAGGTACCGAACAATTATATAATATGGTAGAAAAAGTCGATAGGTAATTATGGATTTTGTAGTTTGTGAAGTAATATAAAAAAAATAAAGTTTTGTTCGAGTGAATATGTGGACTGTCCGAATGTGAATACATACAATATTTATCTTAGGCCTAAGCATAATAAAATTAATTCACAAACACGCTCGCTCCAACAAAGAACCCAGGCAATAACCAACCAGTAATACCTGTAGTACGTACTATCAAAAACCATAATAATTCAGTCATAAAGAAAAATGAATGATCTCTTATCATTATCAATACCGTTCATCGACACTGAAGTCAAAACGAATGTTCTCTCATCTAAACAATTGTCCAATAATTCAAAACTAAAAATAGGTGGGTGGACGGGATACCGCTCTGCTGAACAGTAAATGTCTAGACTTTAGAGAGGTCGCACTGTAATGGATGTGTGATTTAATGATAATAGGTACCTATATAAACTCATTAAGGGGGCTGCAGCCGATGAAAAAAAAGTGACTTTAAGACCAATAAGCTAGACAAAACTGGAAGAATTAGGTTTGACAGATTTTAATTTTTAAAACGGATTATGATTGATCAACAAGTTTACTTGGATTTGATCGAAACGATTTTAAATATTTTTTTTCATCTGTGATATTCAAGAATAAAATATATATTTTTGTATTTATATTATTCATTATGACACTAACAATAATTGGAATATTCAAAATCACCTCGATCATTCCTTAGTAAACTTGTTGATCAATCATAATCCGTTTTCAAAATTAAAATCTGTCGAACCAAATTCTTCCAGTTTTGTCTAACTTATTGGTCTAAAGTCACTTTTTTTCATTGACTGGAGCTCCCTTCAGCCCTCTTATAGTTTATTTTATGATACGGAATTTAAATATATTGAAAAACATTATAACAAACAAAATTAATGTTTAGATTGGTCAAATCTACATTAGTTTTGACTTTTGACAAAACCTGCTGCAGCCGCCTTAATATGAAAAACAATTCTGATCAAAGACGGTCTGTCAGTAAACCAGAATAGGGTGACTCCCGAGTGCGTCCTGAAATTACCCTTTTTTTATGTTCCTAGTGCGTCCAGAATAAGGTATCGTCCGAGTGCGTCCCAAGGAAATAAGGTCATATTTTTTACATAGCCCGAATGCGTCCCAGTTCATTTAGAGTTACCCAGGGTGCACCACGAGGAGGTGTACTGGCTTACACCCCAAAAATATTTGGTTATTTGGTTATTTAATTATTACTTATATTATATTTATTATAAAAGTTTATTGTTATAAAAATGTATTAAATTATTGAGGCTTACATCCAATTTTCAAATGCTGGGTATTATTTAAACTATTTTTTCGGTTGACTTTTCAATGCCATGATTTTCACATAATCATATCTAGAGATTTGTTCAGTTTTGTATTTTCATATATTTTCTTCAATGAATTTAATATTTTTCCATTGACTGATCTAATTTTTTTTGATTAGAAATTTGTATCAACATTTTTGTGTCTATTTGAATTTTTTTTAATATTTTTAAGAAGGAATACAAATGTACAAATGTACAAATGTTTATATTAGGATTAAAAATGTGTACAAATGAAATAACAATCGTTGGTATATTTTTTTGGGGGAATATTGAATATGGTGGTGCCAATGTAACGGACCTGGATATTCCGACATTATTTGTGATATTATCGCGGACGCACATGGGTTATACCAAAATTATTAGCGATTTTATCGCGGACGCATTTGAGCTATTAAAAAGGTACGATATGATTAACGGGACGCACTCAGGCGACGCCCCCAGAATACCGGTTAAATAAAAAGGTAATGAAAAGGTCTAATGTAAAATCTGTCAGTTTTATTTTCTTACCTGTAATGGGCATATGGAAACTCCGCCAGTATTTAATCCTTCCTTATGTAAAACTAAATGATACTTCTCTTTGAGAAAGCTATAAATACTAAATAGTTATAATAATGGATTTCTATTAGACTTAATGGTATGAATATCTACAAATTGTATATCATAATTTTAGTTCACAGTTCAAAATATTATTATTTATTAGTATTATACTATTATAACATAAAATATCATATTAATATAATATAGGTACTACCTATTACATATTTTTTGATTATTAGTTATTACAATTCCAGTCTATCATTATTTTGTAACATAATACTGGACATTGCAATTTGTATGATTTGTTATTTTTATTTTTCATTTTTTATATTTTTTGGCAAGGAATTATCCTTATTTGAAAAGGAAAATTATTATTATAAAATTATGATTTTTTGTTTAATAATAATCTGTAATAGAAATAATGACGTAAGTCAAACTGAAACCAGATTTACAATAAAAAATAGAGTAGAAATGGTACTTAAATTATTATTTTAAGCATATAAAAGTAAACTTTATAATATTAGGAATAATATAAGATTGAAACAGAAAAATTAATTAAAAATCCTATTATAACGACTAAATGACTAAGAAAAATTAAAAGTAGATTTCCCAACATTTTGATGTTTTGATTTGTGTCACTATTGTTTTAGGAGTGCGAATTATTTTCAAGTTTTCAATTACAGTTCACAATAATATAAGATTTACTTTTAACGAATTGTTCCATACGATATATAGACAATTTTCCTGTAGAGTACAAGTTGAGTAAAGTATATATTGATCTGACTCATCTGAGTTATGATTTAAATTGAGAAGTTATATGTTCATAAAAACTGATACAGTTTGCTTGATATTAATTGTAAAATAATATTAAATAACAGTTGAGGAACCTATCGAGTGAAGTGTGCCACATTTTTATATTTATTAGGACGGTTATTTACCTAACCAAGCAAATATTAAAATGCCAACTCTTGCCTCTCTTTATTTAATATTTTTAAATACTTTAAATGTGACATATGATTTTAGGTATTATTAATTCAGCTAAGAGAAACATAATATTATCAGGATCCTAGTATTTAAATATCTTCTATGTTTTTATTAAAAAATAAAATGTAATAATACGTACATTGATAAATTAAGTAAATGTCCTCATATATCACAAAAAGAGTAACCGTATTATACAAATTACAATCATATACCAATTCTAGAAAATTCTAATTGAAAAGACCACTCAAAAATGGACACCTCAACAATTGTAGAAAACTGACTTTTTAATCAAAATTATTGTTTTCCTTAAAGTTATTGTAGGTACTTTTCTTAATACACCAACTAAAAAAACCCATAATAATTGTAAAATGTTTACATTAATTGCTCAACGAAGAAGTAAAACGTGAAAATCTATTGTGTGATTGTCAATATAATAAAAAATCATCACTTAAAAGAAAAATGATGTAACTTCAATTTTTGATATAACACAAAAAAAACAATATATTACTTGGAAATACAGAAGTTTACAATGAACATAATCATTATTTTAATGTAAATAATTATTTAAAAATTTTATAAATAATGAATACACATTATGCATTTATTAATTTTCTTGACATTTCTTTTTGTGATCTTGCAGTGATGGATTGAATTGTAATTGCTTGACTGTCAACGCCTATCCAGAATCTGTTTTTCATAATATATCTGCGGTATTTCTTTATCACATGGCGACGAAAAAATAATTTCATGCACATGTGTTCCAATCATAGCTAAAAAATACTCAATTACATTATAATAATCATATGGTAAAGGTATAATGTAGTCTTTACAGTTTTCCACTAAATGTTCACATACCATCTTCTTTGAAATCAAAAAATGGCTTTGTATTCTCATTACGAATAAACTTATAGTATACTTCTATCTTTCTAAGCAATGGTCCACAAGAAGTTACTTGTATTGATTTTATGTCCCAATCTTCATGATACACGAAAGCGGTCACCGATGCATTGAAAGCTATGATGCAGGTCCATAATATAATTACAGCTTTTAAACAATTCCTGAAATACCCACTTATATTAATAATTATTCTTTATTGCTCACTGAATAAGAACTTTATATTAATATTAAACGAGTTGTTTCGCGCATGCGCATATCGATCACCTAATTCGGTGAATCGTCGCTAATATCGGCTTCAAAATAATATGCAGTGGCTCCATCCATAGTATATGATCTAAGTCTAAGACCGTGACTTGACAATGATTATTCCTGATTATAAAATTTAACCGACAGAATTGATTATGTCGAACCGATTGGTCTCAGTGGAAGAAAGGAAGTTAGTCTCCTATAAATATTATTAAGGTACTTACATCGTCTTCTTTAAAATTTCGATTCTGTGCCAATTTCGTACGACCTTTAAAAATATAATAGATCAACGTTTTAGAATAACCTTTCTGAAATGGTATGGCGTCTGATGTCTGATATGAGAGCAACTATGTGTTACAAAAACAATAAATGGCGTTCTAGTCTCTAGATCTCCACGCATACACACACACAAACACACACACACACACACACACACACACACCTACACACACACACACACACACACACACACACACACACACACACACACACACACACACACACACACACACACCCGCACACACACGTTGAAAGACAGTGGTACCATCATCCCCGACAGTGGACAGTAGACAGTGGTAATATCCCCGCCTTTTTTTTTTTTTTAAATAATTTTTGACAAAATATATTGACACAAAATGACTAACCAATAATATAATAACAATGGATGTCTGAAATGAGAACAGTTATATGTGGTCATTACAAAAACAGTATGTAAGGC